CCCTCTTCATCATTGACCTCAAGGGATCATCACACTGACTGTCCATGCGGCAGCCGAAGCATAGCTTGATGTCGGTCGAAGACTACCGACGACATCAGAGCCGAGGAAAATCCCCACGGGGTGCCTATTCCCGCTCACGCTCCCTACTTCACCAGGAACGACATCCAAAGAGGTATGGGATGGCCTGATGAAGACCAAATCCAATTACCATCCGCCATCCCGCGCTGAAGGCGCCTCTTGTCTTCCGCCCCCGATCATGGTGGCCTGCCAAGCATGAACGCACAGTAAGCCAGCTCCTTCCTTCCTCTATCCTTCCTCCTACCCCTTTACCCACAGACCCGGTCGACCATTTACCATTGATTGCTTTTGCTAACTCGGCCACACAGAGCGATGTCCATAAAAAAAGCCACCCAAGCAAGTCAGATGACATCACCCCCTCCTATCACTTGTGTGTTCAAAATTCTCTCTCCACCCCGCAGAGGGCAGTGTCTGCCAACGAGCCCTCGAAACCCCTCAAGTAGCCTGGCACTGTCCCCCCTCCACAAGAGAAGAGCTTGGCTCAGACAGAAGGATGAAAACTAGGATGTAAGTTCCGAACACTCTCTCCCTCTCTCCTGTCCTGATGAACCTCAACTGACGTGATACTCTGTATATAGCCCATGTCTTAGGCAGAATCATGTACTAGCTAGAACCAAGGAGTTGACGCTCGCGGGATGGATCTTGGCTCGGTCTTCATGTATTCTGTCCTCCTGTCGGGATGGAAATTGGTGGGATACGTACATACCAGCTGGTGGCTTCGCTGCAAAGAATGCTGCCGACCTCGCTCGCAGAGCAGGCCACATGTGCGCATTCGGCGGCCAGGGAAACCGGGTGGTCTGAGGACCTGGATGCATATGGTGGAACTTGGATGAGCAGGCAGGGCAGCCAAGGCATGGTTACTGTCTTGCGGAGGATCGTTTGGCAGAGGAATGGTTGGATCCCGTTCTGCCAATCGCACATGGGCATGGAGGAGGGCTGGCCGGCGCGCCTCGGATGCAAGAATACAATTCAACGGATTGCTTCTCACCTCCACCCCATCCCATCTTGTTCGTCTTTTGCATCGCGAAGTGATTCTTTTCTCCTCTCTTCTCTCCCCCCTTCTCTCTCTCCCTCCCCTCCTCTCCCCTAATTTTCTTTCTTTCTTCGAAAGGGGAGACGCTTCCCGTTCCCTTGCCCAACCCAACTTTCCCAACTCTCCCATCTTTTTCAAATATCAAACATCCACCGGAAAAAAAAAAAATCAAAAAAAAATCTATAAAACACCCTTTTTTTTTGTTTCGGTTCTGTTCTCTTTTCTTTTCCTCCTCCTCCTTCTTCTCCTCCTCCTCCTCTTCCAAGAACGCAGACGAGGACGGAAAAATATATATATAAAAAGGGAATAGAAAAAGAAATAAAATAGGAATAGGAACTAATAGACAGTAGAATGGAATATATGTAAAGAGGAGAGAGGAGAGAGGAGAGAAGGAGAGAAGGAGGAGTAGTACTCGTCGGTGGGAGAGCAAAGTCGTAAAAATAATATATATATATATATATATATATTGTTCCTTTAATAATTTTTTATTTAATAATTTATATGTATATATATATATATATTAACCAGTCACTACAATAGGAATTGACGTCGCCGCTCTCCCTTTTATATATATATATATATATATACTTTCCCGCCAGGAGAGGCTCCCAACAGGCGAGGTCGGTCAACTTTCCACTCTGTTTACGCACTCTGTTACGGAGGGCTACGAATCTTCACCTGTACGAGGTGCCCTTTACGAATCTTCAGCCCTCGTTTACTCTTTCTCTTGCGGTAGAAAGAAAAAGACAAAGAGTCTCGAGAGCCGAAATCAATCATCGATATGCGACGTCTCTTGGAGAAGATCTTCTTTTCCCGGCGGTTCCGAACCTCCTTCCTCTTTCTTTCTTTTCGAACACCACGCCGACTACGATCTATAGGTACTCAACGGGCATACCGATTAAAAAGACTACAAGGATTTGCGATAAAAAAAAAAAACGTATGTAAAAAATAAGATAAGAAGGGCTTCATTCGACTCATCGAAAGCACGAGACCGCGCCTTCGAAAAGGGCGCTTTGCAAACACACCGGCTTTATCGAAGGGCTGCGAACGCGAGCCTTTTTTAGCTCTACGACGAAAGAGAACGATGTTTGTATTCTACGGATCGAGGCCGCCCGTAAGGCCACACCTCTTCGACAGTTGTCGGGAGAAAACTCGACGCACAGCACTATGAATTGCTTTTAGGGGGTTTACATATAATTCCTCTACTGAGCGCGTCGCCGTACCCCATGGGAGGTCCCTAGGGTCCAAGCATTGCGTTTTGGATACCCGCCCGACGTTAATAAATACAACAACAATAACAACAACAACAACACACTCTGTCACACACTTTGTTACGCACTTTGCAAGCTCTGCAAGTTGTGGGAAAAGGACGCAGGTATTGTATTTCTTTTCTGGCTTCGAGCTTTCTTCCTTTTGCGCTACGCTCTCTCTCTCTCTCTCTGTCTATTACCGAGAGCCCTCACGTAAACAGGCAGCGCACTGACTTTGACTCATTAGAGAAAATACGAGGTGCAAGGGCTACTAAACAGTAAACAACAGTGATAACCTCTAATATATTTATTTAAATAACCGTCGTTGCGCAACTTTGGAATCAGTCTTTATAGCCTACCCACGCCTGCCTTTAAGAAAACCCACTTCATGTCCGGGCTACCAGTTGCCCATCTAAAATACATAGTGAATAGCCTCCTGTTTTTGATACCCAGCACTTTCTTTCCCATCCAGCCCAACCCAACCCAACCCAACCCATCCCATCCCAATCCCGCCCCGCCCCGCCCCGCTCCGTCCGCCCAGCTCATAAGACGCCCAAATTACAGCTCGATCCAGCCCCTATCTCATATCCCAGTATAGGTGCTCCCAACTCCTTTGCCGTGTAAATATATCTAAGATTCCAACGCCAATAGTATAGTGACCCTCCCTAGACGACCGTAGTAATGAAAGATTGGTACTGCTCCTCCTCGCTCAGCAGTTTCTTCGCCGGCTTGACCTTGTGTACCGGTACAGGCGTTGAAGAGTTCGTTGTTGCCCAGGGTGTTATTTGAAAATCCATTGCGTCGCCCTTGTCACCTGCTTCCTCCTTCTCCTGGGCCGGGACAGGAGATTCAATTTCCTTGGGGAGACGCATGGCAAGGAGAACGTATTCGGCCCGTGTAGCTTTATCCATGATTTCGTCCATGTACCGCCTGACTTCCTCGGGAGGAGCCACGATCTTCTGGAGAGCGTCTAATTGGCGGCCTTGTTGGGCAAACAGCCGGATAGTGATCGGCTGGTAGTAATCGAGCGCGGGGTCGTACGTGGGAGAGTCGCTGCTGCTACCCCTCCGGACAATCAGGAATGATGCGATTACTTCTCCCCCAGCTCGGCTCTCAAGTATGCTGAACCTCGGAAAGGCGTAGCGGTCTCCGTTGCCACCAGAGAACTCGAATGCGACGCCAGAAATATCTGGCTTTGCGGATGGCACGGGGCCTTTTGATCGCAGAGCTTGTGGTTGTGGTTGGACTTGAGGAGCCGGGGCGGCCGGAGGAGGGGTGGGTGCTACTTTGACTGCTGCAGGTACAGTAGCCGGGGCTTGTACGGGCGTTGCAACCTGAGGTGAAACCTGAGGGGGCTCGACTCTAGGTAGGCGTGCTGCAGCATCCATGGATTCTCTTGCCTTCTGAGCCCGAGTGAGCTCGGTAAGCTCATCTATGTGACCCTGAAATCTCCTCAACTCCTCCGCTGTAGCCTCGCCGTTTGCCACTATCCTCATCAATCCTTTCAGACTCGGATCTGTAGCTGCTCTCTCTGCGAGCATTTGTATAACGGGGTCCGTGCTCTTGCCAACTGGTGTAGAGGGTGGTGCTGGCTGGGGACCCGTCAACGCCGGCCCGGGATTTTGCAAGGGCGCAGGCCGGTGGCCGTTCTGCGCAGAGCCCGGGGCTGCAGGACCAGCGCGGTCTGATACTGGGGCGTCCTGCGGTAGAGGAGATGGTTGTGGGATGGGAGGAGGGGGCTTCTGCTGGACGGGCTGAACAGGAGCCGGTGGAGGGGGTGTCGGAGGCATCACTCCGCCAGGAGGGCCATACTGGATGATGGGACGGTACATCTGCTGGGTAGGTGGTAACGGTGCGGGCTTCGGGCCCGTGTCTTTAATAGCATACATCGTCGCTTCGAAACTGTGCGGCTCGACCGTGATGGTGCAGCTCCCCAGCTTCGTCATGGAGTCTTTGGCCGGATTGTCGGCGGGCTGGTCTGGCTCGCCCTTCTTCTTCTTCGGCTTGGTCCAGTACTTATCGAAGATGCCTTCGCTCAGCCATTTCTGTCGTGATCGGTGTAGTGACTCGACCAGGACTCCGCTGGGGGACAGGTCAGCTCCCAACTTTCTCGCTGTCATCGAGACCTGGGGCAGGCGGTAGCTCTCAACTTGCCTCTCGGTCACTGTCTGGTACTGGCTCGCAGGCAAATTTTCAGGCTGCGGCTCCTCGACAGTAGGCAATGGTTTACCTGCCGCAATGCTCCGGGGCAGCGTCTCCTCCACGACAGGAGGGGGTGCCGGCGGTTGTGGAGTCTGCAGGCGCTGTTCGGGGGGCGTTGAGGTCCGCTTCTTGCTGACGGCCTCTACACGAGCCGCGCGAGCTGGAAGCTTTCTTTTTCTCTCCATCGCCGGCAGGATTGCGGTGGCGGTTGCGGTGGCGGGGTGGTCGATAGCAGCGGCGAGATGAGATGGTGGTGTAGTAAGTGACGCGGCGACGAGTTGTGTGACAAAGACGTTGATGGGAAGGAATCCAGAAGTTCGCGGTCCTTCAGTACCTACTGTATCGTAGCGTACGGAGGAGGGCGAGACCGTTGCTTGGTTAGATCAGAGGCCGGTCCGTGAAATGAGAGAAGTGGAGCCCCAGCCGAACACCAAAACTTCTTCTGTGAGCAGCCGAGATGTCGTTTTTCTCCACGATCGCTTGTGTAGAGATATCGAGAGATTATTATTTCACGCAGACAGGTGAAGAAATCCAAGGAAAGATCCAGTCGGAGGCGAATAATGGTTCAGATGCTTTGATCGCGTGTTCCGTAAGTGTTCGAGCGTTGGCTCTCGTCTAATGTCTAAAGAAATGAGATAGATCCCTATTTGATATATTTGGTATCTTTAGCATTTGCTTATATTCTGTTGATTCCAAGCTCTTATTACCTAGGAGTTCTGACATCAATCGGTCAGATCCTATCCACCAAAAGATGGCTCCTCTCGCCCCTATCTTCAAGAGAGCTTACATCCTCCTCTTCTCAAGCATTGCTCTCTACTCCTTGGCCTTGATTGCAGTCGCGAACCCATGGCTACAACGACAGTAAGTTTCGCCTCTCACAGGTCGGAAAAGTGCTAATTGTTCCTCCCAGTGTCCTGTATGTCCACAAGCTTCACACTGCATGGTGGGTAGACATCAATAAGCCAGAGCAGTTTGGATTTGCAAGTCAGTCAGTCTCTCAAAAGGTCATGCCTATTTGGATTTGACCTCGTACCCAGAAAACCAAATCACGCCCTTCAACTTCAGTACTCCTGATGGTGAAACTATCTACGCCTGGCATGTAATGCCCCTGGGACTCTATGCCAAGCATGAATATGAGATATTACAGCAACCATCCGGTTGTGCAGAGGACATCACCAAGACCAAGGCATTCCAGCTTCTCAAGAATGATCCGGATGCCCGTTTGATTATAAATTGCAAGTACCACCATGGACGTTCGTGTGCCGTTGTTAATGTGTCTCAGTTCATGGGGTACAGACCCAAATCCGAGTCTCGGGAGGCCACAGCTAATAGGTATAGAATGCGGGAACGGTCGCTCAAGGCTGGAGAACCGACTCTTACCGGTATTTAGGACGTCCCGCTCAATCTCTCCGTTCAATCGTCACAGGATTTGAAAGAGGAGACTCACAAAAGCTCTCTATGAACAAACTATTGACACTGCTTTAGCTCCCTCTCCGACGGCAGCACATCCAACATCCACATTCTCGCATTTGACTACCGTGGCTTCGGCCTCTCAACCGGCACTCCCACCGAAGCAGGTGTAATAACCGACGGCATTGCAGGTCAGATTGTTCTCGCCTGTCCCCCTCCTCATTCTTTTGGTTTCTTGGCCGAGATTGTGTTCCAAGGTCCCGATCCTGCAGGGCACAGGGCAAAATACTAATCTCCCTCATAGCCGTCAACTGGGCCCTCAATGTCGCTCAAGTCCCCCCCTCCCGCATCGTCCTCCTCGGCCAAAGCCTCGGCACAGCCGTCACATCCGCCGTCGCACTGCACTTTGCCCAGCTATCCATCGATTTCGCTGGCGTCGTACTCGTAGCCGGCTTCACCAGCATCCCTAACCTGCTAACCCAATACTCCATCTTGGGTGTTTTACCAATCTTATCGCCATTCGGTAAGCATCCCATGCTGCAGCGCTTACTATCGAGCCAAGTAGTCGATAGATGGGAGAGCGCAGAGCAAATCGCCCATCTCGTCAAACTGAGCAAGAGACTACGGCTTTTCATCATCCACTCCAAAGACGATCCGGAGATTCCCTGGACGCAGTCTGAAGGCTTGTTTGCGGCGGCGGCGAACGCGACAACTGATGGAGGGATGGGCATCGAGCTTTTTGAGAAAATGAAGAAGAGGGGGACGGTTGAGATGGAGGGTGGGGCATTTGTCAGTACGTGGAAGGATGGGGGTGATCGGATAATTAGGGAGGAGATTGTAGGACATGGCCGTAAGTGATGTCGGCTTCTGTCTCCGATGCGCAGATTGATGTTGACGGTTTGAAGAACATAGCAGGATCTTGACATACGCTCCGGTTGCTCTGGCGGCGCTGAAGGCGTTTGGGATGGATGATGGGGGGATGTTGCCTCTTTGAAAGCTGTATGTGTCACAGCTTGTAAGTATGATAGAATGGATGATGATAGAGACCTGGAACCTCGGGCAGATTAGACATTCATTGGTTATCCTTATAATAATTCAAAAGGCAGAAGACTATTCTGTAAAACGCTCTCGACTACGCCATACACCGGCATTTTCCTCCACCACAACTAGGTAGCTAAGCCTCTTTCCAGCTCAAAACCTTTCCTCGGTTTGCAAGTATTTCGCATACAAAGCTTGATGTCCTGCCAAACAAAACACGGCAAAGACCTACAACACGTGACAACGTAAATAAGAGCCCAAGCTTCAGATCTTGGCATTTCGAGACCCCCACCTTAAAGTACCCCGCTGAAACATCGTGCAGCTGTCCTGGCCACAGCTCCTACAACTCATCAGACAGCCCCAGAATGGCAGACGAGCAGAAGGCCAGCACCGCAGCTGGCAAAGGCAAGGGTAAGGGCAAGGACAAGGGCAAAGCCTCCGAAGAACCCACCAACAATGACCAAGCCGCAGCGCAAGAGTCCGACGACGACGACGACGACGGCGAGCTCGAGGAGCCCACCGCGGCACCAGGCACAGCTCCCAGCACAGTATCCAAGAAGAAGAAATCCAAACGAAAGCGCGTCAAGGCAGCTCTAGGCGGTGGAGGCTCCTCCGAGCCCACCAGCTCTGGCTCCCGGGAGGAAATTAATAAAGCCGTCGGCTCCCTCGGCGCAGCCCAGATCCAAGAGATCCTCAAGATGAACCCGAGTCTAGCACGACAGCTGGGCATGGGCGAAGGCACCGAGCTCTCGAACCAGAAGATCGAGGAGGCGATGAAGAAGCTGAGCTTGGAGGAGATTATGACGGGGCTGGCGAGCTCAGGCAAGAATGTCAAGGATATGGCGAGCTACAAGTTCTGGCAGACGCAGCCCGTGCCGAAGTTTGGAGAGAGCAGCGAGCCGATTGAGGAGGGCCCTTTCAAGATTGTGGACATTGAGAAGGTGTCGAAGGAGCCGGGGCCGCTACTGCCGGGGTTTGAGTGGGTGACCATGGATTTGACGAGGGAGGAGGAGATTCAGGAGTTGTTTGCGTTGCTCTATGGGCATTACGTTGAGGATGACGAGGCGATGTTTAGATTTAACTACTCGCAGTCTTTCTTGAGATGGTAAGCGAGCGGTAGAATTCTGGGAATTTGGCAGCTGCTAACTTGGGCAGGGCTTTGATGTGTCCCGGATGGACGAAGGAGTGGCATGTTGGTATTCGCGCCTCGGCCTCACAGAAGCTCGTAGCCTTTATCTCAGCCATTCCCGTTGCCCTGCGTGTCCGAAAGAAGACGCTCCATGCTTCGGAAGTCAACTTCATGTGTGTACACAAGAAGCTGCGGTCGAAGCGAATGGCTCCTGTCCTCATCAAGGAGATCACTCGTCGATGCTACCTGCTGAAGACGTGGCAGGCTATCTACACTGGTGGTGTTGTCCTACCCAAACCAGTCAGCACCTGCAGATATTTCCACAGATCACTTGACTGGCAAAAGCTCAACGATGTCGGGTTCAGCCCTCTCCCTGCTAACAGTAAGCCCTCCTACCAAGTCCGTAAATACGCTCTCCCCGACCACACTTCCACCAAGAACCTACGACCTATCGAAGCCAGGGATGTCGACGGCGTTCTTTCCTTACTGCAAAGATACTTGGAGAAGTTCGACATGGCTCCCGTCTTCACCAGAGAGGAAGTTGAGCACTGGCTCCTCAACAAGCGTGACGATGCGGACGATAAAGTCGTCTGGGGCTACGTCGTCGAGGTACGCTTTCCCTGGCTCTTGTAGTCGATGTTTTCAGCTAATGCAGTTACCACAGGACCCCACCTCGAAGAAGATCACTGACTTTTTCTCCTTCTACATCCTCTCCTCCTCGGTAATCTCTTCCTCAGTACACAAAGAGATCCGTGCTGCGTACCTCTTCTACTACGCCACCGAGCACGGCCTCGACCCTCAATACACGCGCTCCGACCTCAAAGTCCGCCTCAACGAGCTCATACATGACGCGCTCATCCTGGCCAAAAAGTTCAAGTTCGACGTCTTCAACGCGTTGACGCTGTTGGACAACACCCTGTTCCTGGAGGACCAGAAGTTTGGGGCGGGCGACGGACAGCTGCATTACTATTTGTATAATTACAATACCAATCCGATCGCAGGGGGTGTGGATGCGAAGAATGTCTTGGATGAGAAGGGGGGAAGCGGGGTCGGTGTGGTGATGTTGTAGGACGTTCGGGGTCAAAAAAGAAAAAGTTGAGATTGGCATTGAGATTAAAATTACCCGGGAGAAGGGAGATTGCCTGACGATACCCCCAAGAATCGAGCTTGCTAGGTAGAGGCAAATAGATATATTTGATACTGGCTCAGGTTAGACCCGCCTTCCTGTCACTCACTATTCCAGACTTTGTACCTTCTTTGTATTCATTCGGAGGTCTTCTCGATTATAAGATTCATCTTCCCTTGCCCCATCTTATCTCTTTCCCTCGCCACCCTTCATGAGCTCTCTCCCACCAGCCCTCTCCACTCCTCCTCTCCGGCGGGCGATGCACACTGGTCTGTTTATACATACCATCTATACCATCTGCAGAATACCATCTATAGGTATAGGTGTATGCAAAGAAAGGGTACTAGTCCCCGCCTACCTATATCTATATATCTATGTGTGTATCTATATATCTTGGCTACTACTCGGCTACTACTCGGCTACTACTCGGCTCGGCTGCACTTACTTACTGTACTTACTGTGTGGAGTTATCGTTGTCTCGTTGTTTCGCTGTTTCGTTGGATTGAGTACCGTTTCGTCTTTGTCTTTCTGATTGGGTTGATTTGGTTGGGTTGGGTTGATTTGGTTTGGTTGAGTTCATAGATAGGTCGATAGATAGATGGATAGATAGGGTGACGATCTCGGATCTCGCCTTTTTTTTCTTTCGGTTTTTTTTTTCAAAGTATTTACGAGTACTAAGGAAGTGAGTGGGTGGGTGGGTTTTACTGTTGGGTTGTGTGCTTGCTTGGATATGGGTGGAAGATGGGGGATGGAAGATGAAGATTGGGTTTTGGGGTTGGGCATGGGCTTGGAGTTGGGCTTGAGAGAGGGGAGAAGGGAGTTGGATGGACTTTGTAGAAAGGAGGCTTGAGGGAGAGGGGTTCAAGGAGGAAAGTAAGGATGAGATGCTGCTGTGCGTTAGTATTGCTGGCTAGGTAGGTAGATTTTGGTTGTTGACTTTCGACTTTCGAGTGTCGGGTTAGCGAAGCGAAGCGAGGGGAGAGGAATAAATATCAAAAGACAACTGACCGACAACCATCACTCAACGATGCGTGATTAACAATTACCAAACTCTCTATAATAACAATAACGATTACTATTTCCCCAGCCCCTCCGTCTTCGCAATTAACGCCTCCATCTGCTCGTGAAACCACTTCGTCTCCTCCAGCATGAACACGTGCCCAATCCCTTCCTTAATCAGGCCCACCCCAGGCTGCAGCATCTCGATGAGCTTCCGCCCGTGCGGGACCGAGATGATACTATCCTTCGTGCCGTGCATGACCATGATCCTCTCCCGGCCGACGCGGTCCCCAATCTCCTCCAGCTGCTCCTTCGTCTTGTGGTGCCAGCCGGCCGCGATTGCCTGCAGCAGGAAGCCCTTCCTCTGGAACTCCTCGACGTTCAGGCGCTTCATGATCTCCTGGGCGGCGAAGCGCTCGTAGTTCGTGGGGAAGCGGCCGTAGGCGCCGGACGGGGGCAGCTCGACGTTCGGCGTGGACGCCGTGGGTAGGACGGCGTCGTCCTCGTGGGCGAGCCAGGCCTCGGAGAAGAGCACGGCGGCCGAGTCCGAGACGGAGCGGTCGAGGCTCTTGGGCATGAACATGCGCACTCGCGCCTTCATGTGCTCCACGAAGCTGGTGGTGTTTTCGATGGCTGCTGCCGTGGAGAGGAGAGAGAGCGAGGCGAGACGGTCCGGGATTAGATAGGCCTGTTTGGGTTGTTAAGATGATATATAGTTCTTTGAGATGGGGGCAGAGGGGTCGGTACGAGTTCTTGGGCAATCATCCCGCCCATTGAGACACCGGCTATGTGTAATTGGCGATTGCTAGTCCAGCCGAGATGGTCGAGAAGCTCGATGCAGTCTTTGGCCATATCTAACGTGGAGTAGCGCATCAGCGGCTTGCCAGACTTTCCCATTCCTGTAACCATGTCAGTATTTTGGAGAAGTGATGTTGGGTTAATAGGTAGTAGGACTTGCCTCGGTTGTCGAAAATAAGAGATGAGTACTTGTCGCCATGCTCATGCCCGAAATGTAACGTCTCTCTCTGCCACCCGGACTAACATCGTCAGTCATCATCCATGCGCACATTCAGCCCGGCTAATCTACCTTGAAGGAGCCCAACCCCATGATCCACTTGCAAGCGTTAGTAAGTCAGGTAGGTGATTCAAGATACATTGCCGAAGCCGCCACGGGGGGACTCACGATAAGCTTAATATCGCCGCTTCCATGGACCTCCCAGTCGATATTGATCGGTCCATGCCTATCGGCAGCAACAGGGAGGACGCCTCTCTTAGTGGGAGTGAGCTTCCACAGCGCATCGGGATACGAGGGATGAGCGAGGATTTCTGCAGCCCGTAGTTGTTGGTGATGCTCATGCGCTACCCTAGAGACTATTAGTGCTCAGTCTTGGAAGAGATGGGGTCCGCTTACATGGTGAGAGTTGACAATAGTGTGATTCGAGGTGCGTTGTGAATCCTTATCTGTAAGATCTTGCTGAAGAGGATGGAGGTCCAAATAATTGGGAATTGGAGCCTCGGTATGTTATGAGTGAGCTGTCTCGCTTGGATTCGACTCGCGCTTGAGGGTCAACAGTCATCCCTTTGTTTCAAGTCACATGTTGCGGGCAGAAAGGGTCGAGCGATATATCTTGTCACGTTTTGACGGACGTCACGTCGATGCGATGCTCGGCCAATATCAATATCCGGAGGAAAATGAATGAAGTCATTGAAGTGTCTGTCAGGTGGATCGACGCTAGTGGCTTCCCCGCAACCTCGCTTCTCTTTTGGACAACCTCTATCCTTTAGCTGATCCAGCAGCACTCGCTCTTCAATACTGTATATCGACGACATGATCCATCTCATCCGATTCTTGGACTTGGGATATACTATATAAATTACAACCTCACATTACCGTTTTCGCAGCATCGTGGCAGCTTTTGCCTGTATACCATGCGAATTGGATTATCGTACAGGCCGGAGCCAGACATGTCCGAGACGTTCCAGCCGCAGCAGGTGACGTTCGAGCATCATCGAGGTGGCGACTCAATCGGCATTGCAGAAGTGCAACCCAGATTATCCTGGAGATTTCAGGGCAATGCGAAAGACTGGCAGCAAGGCTCTTATGAGCTACAGATCAAGTCTAGCGGCCGTGACAGTATAGACCCGATAGACTACAGAGGGACGTTCACCTCGTCCGAGTCTGTGCTGGTGCCATGGCCGTGCCGGGCACTGGAATCAAGAGAATCCGCCACAGTACAAGTGCGAGTCACCGGGACCTCGACAGGCTCGGTGGCGTCTCCCTGGTCCCCGCCATCAACCGTTGAGATTGGTCTGGTGAACAGAGATGACTGGCACGCCAAGATGGTTGCTGCGCCGAAAACGATCAGCACCAGTGGCTCTCTGCGGCCTGTATTGTTCCGAAAGGCTTTCAAACTGGCTGGGGAGGTCAAGTATGCGCGCCTTTATATAACCGCCTACGGTCTTTACGAAGCCAGTATCAACGGCAAGACCGTTGGAGATCACGTTTTAGCTCCTGGGTGGACATCATACAAGTACAATCTCCACTACCAGACGTTTGACGTCACCAAGCTGCTGAAGAAGGGCGAGAATGCCATCGGAGCAGAGGCGGGTGAAGGGTGGTATTCCGATAGACTGGGCTACAATGGTGGCAGAAGATGCATCTATGGGGATGCTCTCGCTCTACTAGCACAGCTCGAAGTCACGTTTTACGACGGAACGCAGGTAACGATAGCGTCCGGCAAAACCTGGAGGTCCTGGGTTAGCCCGAGGATATCTTCCGAAATATACGATGGGGAGATTTACGATGCGAGATCCGAGCTGCCGGGCTGGAACTCCGTTGAATTTGACGATGAGCATTGGTCTGCAGTCACCGAACTTGTCCATCCCTACTGGGGCGAAGTTAAAAAGTTCGATAAACACGGCCAGCCGTTCCAGGCTCCAAGACAGAGACTGAAATCTCCACAGGGACCTCCGGTAAGGCGTGCTGAGAAAGTTAAAGTGAAGGAGATCCTTAGCACCCCTTCTGGAAAAACTGTTCTCGACTTCGGGCAGAACCTAGTGGGCTGGCTCAGCGTACGAGTGCGGGGACCACCAGGGCATACGATTCTCTTCCACCACGTGGAAGTCCTCGAGAATGGCGAGATTGCAACACGTCCTCTTCGCGACTGCAAAGCGACGGATACTCTAATCCTCGGCGAGAGTGAGATTTTGTGGGAGCCCAAGTTTACATTCCATGGATTTCGGTATGTCCAAGTCGATAACTGGCCATCAGCTGACGGGAAAACACTGTTGGAAAACATTGAAGCCATTGTTGTCTACACAGACATGGAAAGAACAGGCTGGTTCTCGTGTTCTGATAGCGGTGAGCTTGGAATCAACAAACTGCACCAGAACATCGTTTGGGGCATGAAGTCAAACTTTGTCAGTATCCCAACCGACTGTCCCCAGCGCGATGAGCGGCTTGGCTGGACTGGTGACATCCAGGTCTTCTGCCCGACTGCTAGCTTTCTCTATGATATATCGGGTATGCTTTCAGGGTGGTTGGATGACCTAGCTATCGAGCAGGAACAAGAGCTGGATGGAGTTGTCGGAGATGTTGTGCCGATGGTGCCAGGTATTACTGAGCTCACTGGTAAAGCTGCATGGTCAGATGCTGGAATCATGGTCCCATGGGACCTGTACAATGCGTTCGGTGATCCAGGTATTTTGAAGGCTCAACTAGAAAGCATGAAAATGTGGCTTGAGAAAGGTATGGCGAGACAGGTATCTCCAGGAGGCTCCGAAAAGGGCCTGTGGAACCCTGCGCAGTTTCAATATGGGGACTGGTTGGATCCTGATGCTCCGCCCGATAGTGCAGGAGCTGGTAAGACCGATCCTCAGTTCGTGGCTAATGCCTATTTGGGTGAGCTTGTATACTTCGCGGTTCGGTAAGAGATTCCTTGCTAATGTCAACTTCAGTGCACGTCTCCACTTTACTGTGGAAGGTCTGCAAAACGCTTGGTTCAGAAGCTCTGGCAGACTATATCAAATATAAAGACCAAGCAGCCCGCCTGAAAGCAATGTTCCAGGAGGAATATGTTACACCTAACGGTCGCCTGGTCCCAGAGACAATGACATCCTTGGCATTGGCCCTACAATTCGATCTTCTTTCGTCTCAAGTTGAAGCATCTAAGCCAAGCGTTAATTCCCCGACATACGGTAGATCCTCTGAAGATGCTGATAAAAAACGCATCGACACTGCTGCAAACAGACTAGAGGCTGTCGTCCGGGCCTCCGGCTTCAAAATTGGCACTGGTTTCGTCGGCACACCACTAATACTCCCTGCCCTAACAAGCGTTGGCAAAACACAGCTCGCATACCGTATGCTGCAAGAAGATCAATGCCCCAGCTGGCTCTATCCACTCACCATGGGTGCCACCACTCAATGGGAACGATGGGACTCGATGTACCCTTCTGGCCAACTCAATAATGGAGCGATGACCAGCTTCAACCATTACGCCCTCGGCAGTGTGGCGGCCTGGCTCCATTCCACCGTTGGCGGAATCAGTCCCAAGGAGCCGGGCTGGAAAGTTGTGCGTATCGAGCCCAGGCCTGGAGGGAGAATCACAAGTGCCGACGTGAAGCATTTGAGCCCCTATGGCATGGTTGAATGTAGTTGGAGTATCGTCGGAGAGAAAAAAAAGGAAAAGGATGTGTTTGTGTTGAAGGTTAGCTTGCCGCCGAACTCTTCGGGCGAGGTGAAGCTGCCTGGAAGTAATGAGGTAGTCAAGATTGGTAGCGGGAACTGGAATTGGGGTATGTATATTTTTGCCGTCATTCACTTGAGATTTTTATCAGTGCTTGTTATCCCGGCTCTCGCTCTCTTAAAGAAAAACACTACTAATTTTTTTTTCTAGAAATTCCTTACCGGGCCCCTGACGTACCAGCTAAGAAGTTCGAATGGATTTATCAGAAGCTGGGACCGGATGAGTTCTGAGCGCGTCAGGATAATCCGCCTCTATTACCATGAAGCTAAAAGCATTATGCTCTCCCTGTCACAAGAAGCGATCTTCGGGCAATTTTTGTAGAAGATTTCGAAATGTAGCACGCGGTATACACTTGTTGGCGTCAATACGAAGAGTCGGAAACCAGGGTCATCTAAGATACACAGTCAGCCCTATATGTATGTAGCAGACTTCTAGCGGGCTTCTAGAACCAGTGGATCTCCAACGTCCCTTCGAAATCCTGGCTCCAAAGAAGAAAAAAAGTGGAACAAAAGAAAAAGAAAAAGAAAAAAAGAAGCCTGCCTGTCTTACCCTGCTAACGAACGCCCCACCTCTTCTGCAGAAATCCATCATCTTGGAATGCGAGCTGGGAGAAAATGGGGAAAAAAGATATATGGAAGAGCCGGACGATTATATATTTCCTGACCAGAAACGAGATTAATCTCTACTGTAGGACTTGACGCCTCAACTTTCGGGGCCCTTCCTTAAAGTGGGCGAAAAAAATGCGTCCTCGGAAAAAAAAAATGGTACCCCTTTTTCGTACTTTTTTGGGAATATTTCTCGCATTATAAGAAAGAAAGTCTCGATTAAAAGAAGTTGATATTCCCGATACTTGACGATGCTGCTGAAAATTTTAAAAAGTTGATGTGCTGGCCTTGTTGTATATTGATGACTATTGTCTTAAGTAGATATTAAGGCATATAAACTTGCTGCATCAATAGCTATGTGGTATCTTGATTTGTTCGTCTAATCTATATATATATATCAATTCGTTATTGAGTTATTCGACTAGGAAGTCGTAAAATGATGCGATTTTAAGACCAGTTTTTGCTGAGGGATACATTTTTTCCCAAGGAAACATTTTTTCCGCCCACTTTAAAGAAGGGCCCCGAAACTTGAAACGTCAAGTCCCGCTGTGAATTAGATGATCTATATTCTAGCCCAGCCTCTCCGTACCGCATTGAGCACACCTCCGCTAAGCCGGTCGACGGACTTGGTGATCCAGGATACAAACCGAGCCTGCCTCTATCCGGAGACGGACGTCTATGTTTTGTGTGCACGGCATGTTACTATGACCGCAGCGTACTCGGGATGGGATTGATTCGGGTTTTGACCTTTGACTATGTATGGCTGCGTATCTCGGTGCGGGCTTAATGGCTGTTTGACGGATGGGCTCTTCCTTCTTGTACTTGTATTCGTAGAGGGTGAGATGGAGATTTCGGTCTAGTGGTCGCTTACCAGATCCTAGATTCCCCCCTATGAATGCATGTGCAATGTACCCTTCCCCCCCCGGAATTGCTACAGCCTGAGGGTGCCTCGAAAGTTTATATTTCCACTTTAAACCCCCTGGTTACCCTACCCTCAAGGGTGTCACAATTACGCCTGCGACGTCGTATACGTAGTCGTAGTAGAAGGACTCAGCCTTGAAAAGTACAACTACCTGGTATCTATAAACAAGTATCTAGCCTACGAGGTCTACTCCCCGGCGACCCTCCGCAAGCTCCGGGGCCAGGGGACCTCGCTTCGCCCCGGTCGTGGTGCAAGGCTGCCTTCCGAGGCCTGTAAGACTAACGCTCCATCAATTTTCTTGTACTTATCGGGATATGCACCTTTAAAATATAGTAGTGTATAAAAAATGTAAACGCTTGAGCCCCGCCGCAAGCTTCGAGGGAAGCTCTCCGTACTCCGCGGTTTAATCTACTAGTATGTGGCTATGTGTTTATATACTGTAGTTTACAGTAATGGCTTTTTCAAGCGCGATGCAGCTACTAGCTATTCTTCGAGCGTCTAATCTATCTATAGCAATAGCCCTTTTGGACCCGGTGCAGCCAGCTAGTTCTCGGACATATAACCCATAGCAATGGCCCCTGACAATGCGATGCAGCTGGCTGTCTTTCGAGCTTTCAATCTACTACGTATAGTGATAGCTCCTCTTAGCGCGGTGCAGCTAGCTAGCTACCTTTCGGGCATTGGATTCGTAGCAATAGCCTTTTATGAAGCGATGCAGCTAATCGTCGGCTCGCTTAGGTGGGCCTCCTTCCAGCCTTTCAGTCTTAGTCGGTATAAGCGATTGCGGATCGGAAGCGAGTGCGGATTTTTCGAAATGTGTTAGAAATTTTTATATACTATAGCAATTATTATTATAACTAAGTAAAGAATATTTATATGAATAATTAATTTACGAGCATGCCTTTTTCCGAAACATTTAAAATCGTATTATTAATCGATAATAGGCTTGCTATTAAGCAGCAAAGTAAAGAAAATCTTAAATTTGCTATAAAATAATAACGCGTCGATAAGATTTAAACAAAAGGAAAAGATGCTAAATATCGTAAAGGAATCGCATAATTAAGCGCGAGCGTAAAAGTATTATACGAAAACGCTTTGCTATAAGCTTAATTATTAAAGACGACGATACAATACTTATTCTAATTCTCGATTCGAAAGAGATTTAATAGATGCAATAACCTTTTAAGCGTCAAATTTTGCGGCCTCGTAAAAAAGGTATTCTTCGACCAACTCTCTCTTAACCCGAACTTTCTTTCGATAACGATAATTTAATAATTACAACCGATACTATTAAAAACCTTTTTTTAAAGCAAGATGTTTTTCCTTTTCTTAATATTAATATCGATAGCGATAGCTTCAATTCTAATAATAATAGAAATTCAAACGATTCGTTACGTAAAGTAAAAGACGAATTAGATTCTAAATAGCGATCGATGGTCAAATGTTTCATTAGATAATACGATTTTGAATGTTTCGAAAAAAGATATAATAATAGATTAATTATTTATATAAATATTTTTAGGTTATAATAGTATGTGCTATAGTATATAAAAATTTCTAACACATTTCGAAAAATCCGCACTCGCTTCCGATCCGCAGTCGCTTATACCGACTAAGACTGAAAGGCTGAAAGGAGGCCCACCTAAGCGAGCCGACGATTAGCTGTCTTTCGAGCATCCAGTCCAGAGCAATAGGCCTTTTCAGCCCGATGCAGCCAGCTGTTTCTCGAGCATTTCTTTCTTTACTATCAATTAGCTTATATTTAGGTATTCAGAAACTGAACTGTGGGAATGAGGGATCGGAGTTAAGGACTCGATCGGGGATAAGGGTGGCCCGTGCTTAGCACGTGCACCTTTGCCATAGCAACCACATGGTGGCCCGTGCACGCAACTACATGTAACTGCACCTCGCAGCTAAAATAGCTTCCTTCCTCCCTCAGACTTAACAACACCACGAATGCAACCACTTGCTATTCGTATCGAGTCTTACGTGTGCACCTTATTATGTAACCAATACTGATCAGTGGTTAAATTCACACTTAACCACAGATGAGCTAAGTACAGAAAAGAAGAGGTAGTTTTTGCTCCTTAAAGGTATTAATTACGCTACAAGCAACCGTTAGTTCTTAACAAGTCTAGCGGAAACCCAATATAATTGGCAGTACTATCATCAGTTGTAGCGTCTATCACGCAACCACTACCGCCAATATGGCGGATGACAGAAACAGAAACCCCCCTCTTTACGAATTCGAAGACCCCCCCCCCTCCCCTTCTTAGAGAAATCTGTTCGACCTCTAGCAAGTAGCTTCGAAGAACTCGAATGGACTCTTCGCGGCAAATTCAAAGTCGACCGAAAGGTATAGGAAGCTGATGATTTTGACCCTTCCGACAAGACTAAATGGACTTAAGGTTGCGTTCACTCGTATATCATCCGAGCTCTCGATATATTCAAGGATGATTATCGCTACGCTACAAGTGACAATTTGTGAGAGACATACTAGAGCTTCTTCGAAAGATGGACTGAACTATTGTTCAAGCTAGGTCACATTACAATCCTAGGATACTTATACAATCACCTTTTCGTCCATTACGTGTGGATGAAAGATCTAAGAAGTGGCGTAAGCTATGCTTTAGTTTTTGCTGAACTACTTCATAGATCGACATTTCCCGTATTTCCACTTTACGAGGAAGCAAAACGAGAAAAGCGACTTAGTTTAATGACATACAGACCTGCCGTCAAACCCTTACCTTCCCCTTTACCTCTTACACCTCTTACATCGATACAACTTATTACACGACCACCCCCCTCACCGATACACCCTCAACTGTATCGACCTCTACTCTCGAATGATATACAATTCGATATACCATTCGATAAGCAACCTTATCAACAGCAAAGACAATGGGAGTTCACCTTTGACCCTCGACTACCCTTTGACCTTCGATTACAACCTTTACTACTAATTCACCCGGCCTTATCTCGACCCTTACCCAACCCACTGGTTCATAGACAACCTTACGTACCACCTTTCGAACACCGCGAACATTAAGGACGAGGAGCAAATGGAGGTGGAGGCGGAGGTGATGATGGTGGAAGCAACTATACGGAGGACTCTTACCGCAAAGACAATTACAAAAGAGGTGGAAGAGGAGGTGGAGGAGGAGGTGGAGGAAGAGGTGAAAGAGAAGGTGGTGGAGGAGGAGGAGGTGGAGGCGGTAATGGAAGAGACCTTGACCAATCAGCTAGAGGAGGCTGGAGATCAAGCCCAGCGCAGTTGATTAGCGGACTTAGTAAGATGTATAGACATAAGAAGGAGCTCAAATACAATAGAGGAATGTAGGATATACTCTTCGTAAAGCTGAAGAAGTTCTATAGCTTATGCGAAACATGCGATATCCCTTTTGCCTTATACGCTAAAGCTTTCTCTATTATGCTTACTAGAGCAGCAAACGCTTACTACATCGATCAAATAGCTAGCAGAAGCTACAATTTCGAAGCTATGATACACCTTATAGCCTAACACTTCGAAACCGATGAGAACCGAAAGCACTATATGAGCTTATAGAGAACTATTACATTCGTTAATGTCATTGCAAACAAAGAGAACATCGGGAAGACTCGATTAAAATGCTTAGAGATTACGATGAAGCTTTTAAAGAGCTATCAGCAAAGCTTTACACTCGAATACTAGACCGATAACGTATTGCGCGATCAACTTATTAGCGCTTGCAATAGAGTCGAGGAATATAGACTAGCAATGTTTAACTTAGCTAATACATACGAAGGAGTTGCTGCTCAATTACGATTAGCAATCGGTACTATTCAAAGAGAGCGCCAAGTACTCGAATACATAGCTCCTCTTATTATATACCACGCTTCTAACGACCACAATTGCGATACTAATTGCAATCACGAGACTTACTACACCGATCGAAACTATAAAGGATTAGGTAGGAGCTACAACCGTGGCTCAGGAGGCTATAATCGCGGTAATGGAGGCAAAGGTAGGAATAGAGGTTTTATACGTGGAGAAGGAAATGGAGGCTTCCGCGGAGGTAGAAAGCCTAAGGTATGCTTTATTTGCGGCAAGCCCGATTGCTAGTTTACAAAACACTCCTTTGAAGAGCGAAAACGCTCTTACGACGAGTACAAGAAAGGCGCTACATACTATACCACTCAACCAGTGACCTTAGCCTATTTCGCAAGCTTTTTGGCAGATTACGAAGGAGTGGAAGGTATTTTAAACGAGGAAAATCACTAAAATCAAGCAATATACGCTATTAAAAACTATTAGTACGACGAATACGATCGTGGCGACCGCAACTACTTCACTCAAACCTTTCTTACCGAGGCTGGAAAGGTGATAGGCGCCGAGACCATTGCAATTTTGCAGGAACGCTTAGCTTACTACGCTTTCACCACCTTGGACGCTATAAACCTCTCAATTAAGGAAGACGAGACCGTTCCACTAGAGACCTATATTTTATACTCTCGATATTCAGCTTACCGATTCTAAGGGTTCCTTTTCGATTCGGGAGCTGCAAGTAAGTCTTTTGCAAGAGAGGCACAAGTGAGAGCTCTCTAGCACTACTTACTTGAATTACAAGTGATTACTACTTAAAAAGGTATTATCAGCTTCGGCGAAACCCCGGCTACTATTAAAGGAACCGTAGAAGTATAAACATTAATTGGCAAGATTGTTTTTCATGTAGTTAATATTAACACCCTTTTCCTAATCTATCTAAAAGATATGGATTCTCTTAGCGTGTATTTTAACAATTTGAAAAACCTGCTTGTGCAAGGCCACAACAGCGTACTAGTTGTCAGAAAATAAGGCCACTCATTCTTATTGCTTAGTCAGCAAGAAACCATTACATGCTACCTTATCGAGGGAGAATTGCGTCAAATTCATCGCCGCTAAGGACACTCTTCAATATAGCGTTTTGCTACTACCTTTAAAGCCGCAAGTGAGGAGTTTGAAACCGATATCCTCGAGAAAATTACTAAATACTATGCGCAATGTCAACTATATAAGCAAGCCTTTCGCAGATTCAAAATCTCCTTAAAAGATAAGTATGAATTCAATTATTCGATTATTATTGATATCATGTATATTGACGGGGACCCCGTACTATATATCGTAGACTTAGCTATAGGCTACGGTTCTGGAAGATTCCTTAAGAATATGATTGCAAAACACGTATAGGATACAGTACGTTACTATTAGATCGATACATACTTAAGCCTTTTAGATGTAATCGTAGTAGACGCTGGAACTAACTTAAGCTTTTAAGAGTTTAAACAACAAGCAAAATCGATAAATACTAAGATCAAGGTAGTCTTAATAGAAGCTTATAATAGCGTCGGAAAAGTGGAGCGCTACCATAGCCCTCTTCGAAGAATATACAATATTCTGAAAGAAGAACTAATAAGTAAGGGAGTTGATAAGCACATGGTACTTTAAATAGCTTTTAAAGCTATCAACGATACAGTCGGCTCCGGAGGTATTATCTTTACATTGCTTGTATACGGCGCATACTTACGCTTTTCTAAGACAGATTCTCTAGCACTGTCTATAATAAAGAGACGAGAGGCCTTTCGAGTTGCAATTAAAGAGATTCGTCGACTATAAGCTGAAAGAAAAGTCAAGGACGCCTTAGCAATGCGAAATAAACCAAATACCTTGGAAACCTTTAACCTTCTTTTGCAATCAGACGTCAGAGTCTATAAGGAAGTAAAAGGTAAACTAAGCAAAGGCGAATGGACTGGACCTTACAAGCTAATTGCACGTGAAAACGAGACCTGCAAGATACTCGTAAACGATCGTATTAACGAATTCCGCTTAGTAGTTGTCAAACCGTATTATAAAACACTCTTAAATACGCCAAACCTCGAAGAATCCTTGCAATCCTTGCTATCGAACCGGTCAATTGAAGCTGAACTACTACCGGTCTAGCTTATAAGATAACCTACCATTCTAGCTATTGGAATTAGATCACGCCCGCGCAAACCGAAAGGCAGTTTAGCAGTTCGTTATAGCCCTCGTCACTTTTTTGCAAATATAAAGGAATTCAAATACTTCGACGAGCAATTTCTTAATCACGAGAGTAATATCATCATAGTATTTTTTATTTATAAAGAAAAGGCTGATATTGCGCTTTCTACGAAGCTTAGAAACGAAGGAGTTATTATTACGTCCGGCGAGCAATTCATGGAATCACGCTTTTAAGAGCTAAAAGGCTTAATAGAAAAGGAGGTATTTGAGGTTATAGAATACAACTTTGCAATTCACGGAACAGGCCGCATATTCAACTCTCGAATGGTCGATGAGGTTAAAGGCAAGAATACCTTCGAACTATACGAAAAATCACGCTTTATTATTCAAGCTTGGGGAAACGAAGGCAAGTATGATATTCTCACTTAATCCCCGATTATTTAGCGCAATAGCTAGCGTTTAATGATTTTTTTAGCCTTATTCTTAGAGTCTTTTAATCAAGCAATAGTGTTTTTGCGGGATATTATTCAAGCATACGTGTCGAGTCAGCGTTACCTCGAGCGTATGATCTTAACGTATTTGCTTAAAGACCTTTAACACTTATACCCTTCGGGTTATATCTTATTGATTCGTAGACCTTTATACGGGATTGCGGAGGCAGGTACCTATTAGTAGGACACCTATTACAGATACTATAGAGATAAGCTATTCATAGTCTTTTTTATATACGACCTTTGTTTATTGATCTTTATAACTAGCAAATTCGCTATCATTGGAATGCAAACAGACGATACGCTGATGGTAGCTGATAAGGAGTTTAATGACTTGGAAGAGCAAAAGCTTGAGAAGGCTGATTTTAACGCTAAGCTAAAAGAAACGCTTATAATAGAAAACGAAATGACATTCAATAGAGGAACACTAAAGAAGCTCGCTAATGGCTCGATTCTACTTAAGCAAAAAGACTAAAGGAAGAAGCTAGAGCTAGTTATCGAAAATGGAAACAACTACTTAGAGCAACGAGCACGTGCAGCTTATATTGCAAGCTTGTGTCAGCCCGAAGCTATTTTCGACTTATTTACCGCCGCGCAGATCTAGCAAAAAGACCTCACTTTAGACGACATCACCTTTTTAAACAAGAGAATTGCATAGATGATAGAAAACCAGCAACGAAGCTTAATATACTTTAATATCGACTTACGCTTAGCAAAGCTGTTCGTATTTGTGGACGGGAGTTTTGCTAATAATAAGGATTGCAGTTTACAAATTGGTTTTTTAATCATCTTAGCAACCGAAGAGAGGTTTGACAGCTCTTTCCTTATCCAAGGGAACCTCATCGCTGCTAGTTCGATAAAATGCAAGCGAGTGATACGCTTCGTACTTGCTTCGGAAATCTATAGCATGGTCTTCGGTGTGGATATTGCTATTTGCGTAGCTACTACTCTTAAAATGATTACTAGCAAGCTGGAAATCTCCGAGGTTCTTATAATCGTTTATACCGACTCATATTCCTTTTACGAATGCCTTGTCAAGCTCGGAACCATTAAAGAGAAGCGCTTAATAATCGACATTATAGCTCTTAGACAATCATACGAGCGCCGAGAGCTTGCAGAGGTCAGATGGATTAAAGGAAAGGATAATTTAGCCGACTCTATAACGAAAATCAACCTAAATAAGTCGTTGGCGACTTTCATTAATACGAATAAGGCTAACGTACGTATCGAAGGGTGGGTGGAGAGAGCATAGGAAGCTCAGGCCGAATTTGGAAGGAACGGTAATAGTATTTTTTTACCGACAACGTTAGAAATAAGGGAGCTATTTTTTACCTGTATTAGAATTGCAATTGCAATTGCAATTGCAACTACTGCAATTGCAAAAGAGAAAATTGCGAGTGTGGGAATGAGGGATCGGAGTTGAGGACTCGATCGGGGATAAGGGTGGCCCGTGCTTGGCACGTGCACCTTTGCCATAGCAACCACATGGTGGCCCGTGCACGCAACTATATGTAACTGCACCTCGCAGCTAGAATAGCTTCCTTCCTCCCTTAGACTTAACAACACCACGAATGCAACCACTTGCCATTCGTATCGAGTCTCACGTGTGCACCCTATTGTGTAACCAACATGAACGTATAGAATTCTGTCGTGCGGTAAATAAGGTTGTATATAATACTGGAAACTGCAATGTGCAATGTGCATTGCAGGTCTGCTTTTGCACAATAGTTAAGAGCCACATTCGCTCTGACGGCTCAGTTGATCGATCGCCAGCTATCATTTGAGCAAATTGTGTGTGCACTTTATAGTTTTCTTAGCCGGAAACCCGCTGCCACCCCGCCATCATTAGCTGCGGGGATGCATCTCGATCTGTTGACTACAGCATGCTTAGTCAGGCGGCGATAAGCGAGTTATCGCTAACCAAAACTCCAAGTGCGTCGGAGATAGCATCGGGCAAACAGTGCCATGCAATGGTACCGGTACCTACTTAACCGCTACGTGGTACATACAGAGCAGTCGGTAAAAACGTCAACCGGCCTGCTCTAGGGGGGGTGTCGTGCGGTAAATAAGGTTATAATACGGGAAACTGCAATATGCATTGCAGGTCTGCTTTTGCACACTAAATTCGAAAAGAGAAGAATTGATAATCGCAATCATCAATTGCAAATAGTCTGCAAATCTGGCTCGTAAGATACCTGTTCTCATTACTGAGCGCTTGATCAAGTTTTTGATATTCCTCGATGGCTTAAGCTCAAATGGATGCACTTAATCGACGTTTTCCTTTCCAATCACGTAATACTAGTATTTTTAACAGTTTACGGGTTCACGGTCTTAGCTATGGATCCATATTGAGCTCAACATTACGTAGTACCACCGTACAGGCGTAAGTATTACCCCTCGAGGGTGCCTCAAAAGTTTAGTTTCCACTTTAAATCCTCTGGTTACCCTACCCTCGAGGGGTAATACTTAGGCCTGTACCGTGGGTATATGAAGAAGATGCAATAGAGTTGACAAGGCTTTGAGCTATCAGAAACCACCGCTCAACGGTTTATGGGCTAGGCTGAGTCGCAAATGTTTTCGTGTGGGGGACTGTAGGATAATCAGTATCCTACGTAACCAGCTGTTTAAGATTTGGCTCCAGAACAATTTTGGAATCAAGTCAACCGCCATTCGCAAATCAATAAAGAGTTTTGGCCAAGAAGAGTTCCGCCGAAAGGGTACCAAACTGCAGTACAAAGACGCTAATTAGGTAAGGTTTGAAGGTTAAGGCGAGCTTACGAGCTGGGTAGGATTAAGGTTGATTAGTGTAAGCGTAAGGATTCATTTTTATTATGGTGTTGTGATGCGAGTCCAGATTCAGACATCGGGTAAAGTCAGTTAGTTGACTCGGCTAAAGCCTTTGAAAATCTGTCGCAATACTCAAGAAGAATACGTTGTGATACGCAACAAATTTTACAAATTCAAGGGACTTGTTCACATATTCAAACTATCCCGGCCCCTGATCAATCGGGCAGGAGTGCAGAACCCGTTTGGCCCTGCAATCGGTAAAGCGGCCGTCAACTTTTATTCCACAAGCCAAATACATGATTCAAGAAGCTTTTCAGGGCTGGATCTCTAATGACTCTGTATATGATTATTGGTTGGAGCCCTGTTCAGACCCTTACCAAATTCCACTTTGCCGCTTATCAGGTAGTGGGTGCGGGGGGATATGAAAGGGTACCAGGTACCTATGCGTAAGGATTCCTACTAGGTACGGCAACTACTACATGTCAGACCTAGGCTCTACCGGTATATCACAATTTCGCTGAGCTCTTACAATGCGGTTTACCAGCTTTGAAAAGCTGTTACCGGCTTTGAAAAGCTGGAGGAAGTACTTCCCCAAAACGTATCAGTAAGTGGCGTCGTCTATGTCTACCCCAATAAGTTTACATCCGATTTGCACGATATGCATCATGATCGGCCGAGCCCACGCGCCGAGTCAGCCAAGCGCCAATTTTTTTAAGCGAGAATTCCTCGTAGTAGTACAGTACTTGCGGACTCTTCTCTTCTTGACTCTGTAAACCAACTCTATTAAATATTCGATGACTCGACCTCGTCGCGGCCTGTTTCGCTCACTTGTTCGATGCACCACCTCCACAATTATGGTAATCTGCGTTGAACAATAGCGTTTGTTCAAGAAGCGAGACTTGACAGCGTTGTTTCCTCGATGAGGTACCTATCTAGCTTTGCACCAATCTTGCACGGGCTATAAGCTAAGTACCTTACTAAAGCGACCGCCGGTGCGGTCGACCCTTATCATGCCCAACCGGGCGACATAACTAGCAGGCGTGGACTTATTGGTGGACATAGCCGAAGCCCTAAGAATGTATAAGTACGGAGCTCTTTCCTAGATACATGGGCAAGCTTTGCCGTCCAAAGTTCGTGATTTGGGCTTTTTCTGCAAGGGATCTGAGTACTGGCCACCCGAAGAAGACGATCATCGAAGCCCTTTGATCTAACTGCCGAAAAGCTAAAAATCCTAGCTGCCAAACCCAGTCGTCGCTCTACTCTGTACAGACTGTCCACACGGCAACCAACATGCCTTCTTCACTTTCTCCCACGGTAGATGTGTACAGCAAGGTCATGTTGGAATTACCCCCGAAAATCAAATCACTGCCGACGCCGACGGTCCGGAAGGTCAACACCAACGATGGGATGTCATGGCACGTGAAACAGACGGGCATGGGACGAGATCTTATTCTGATACCTGCCTGCGAAGGCGACAGCTCTACCTATGATCACCTCGGCGATCTCCTCTCCTCCTCATTCAGAATAACCACATTCGACATGCCTGGCTTCTCCAGGACGATCGCGCCGCCCTTCTCGATGGAAGACCTCACGGTACAGATTTTGGCGACTCAGGTCGTCACGTTGATGGACGAACTTGCGATACCGACAGCGACCTTCTTCTCAGTCAGCACTGGGAGCTTAGTGGCGATGGGCTTGGTAACATACTACCCGGACCGGGTCGAGCGAATCATCATCCACGAGGCCCCTCTCCACGTTCCCCAAGGATTCAGACTCTTGAAGCTCAAGGACGACGCTCATGTGATGCACCAATGTCGCGAAATGTTTCCCGCACTCCTGATGGAGAGTAGAACGGCGTGGGAAGCTATGGGAGCCGAGTACCATGCTCGGATGGAGAAGAACTATGTCACCTGGCTCAGGAAGTACATCGGCCAGCTGGAATGTCACCATTGGGACGAGGGATTGCTGCAGAGACCTGTGTATTGGAGCGTTGGATCGTTGAATGTGATGGGAGGCTTCTACGACAACATTATTTTGGCGACGAAATTAGGCCTCGAGGTCGAGATACTTCCGTGCAAGCACTATCCACAGCTAACGATACCGGAAATACTCGCGGCACATATTCGATGTTGTGTGAAGGATGGGGCTTGAAAACGTGGAGCTCCGGGCCGTTAGCAATTGTCTCTCATTCACTACCGTGTCTACCACTTGTAAAATAAACTGCACGTTTTGCACTGTACGCTTAATGCAGACCTAGGAGTGTCGAGCGTTTTGGACTTGGGAGAGGAGTCGGCGTGGGCCAGGGCCGGTGGCAAGAGCCATTGACATTATCACTTAATATGAAACACTATTTGAGATGTGCAAAAATTTATCGAGGTGAGAGTAGGTAGCGGAAGAGCGGAGTGAGTAAGCAAACCAATACTTGAAAGTTCGCAGAAAGTCAAGCTCCCCCCGAGTTAATCTCAACGAAACAGAAGCTTTGTCTCAAGCATATGGTTCGCAATATTTTTATTTCGGAACTCTGGATACCATTTGATCGAGACGTGATGATGGGGGATTTGGGGGGGGGGGGAGGGGGGAGAACATATGAAACCAAAAGAAACTTTCCACGTGACGACCGCTCGCTCGCTTGATAACATTGTTTACGTTCAAACTCGACAACTAAAGCTATCAAATTGCGGCCGAATTTGGCAAGATGACTCTGTTTCGCTGCCTGGTGATCGGCTATGGCACGCGTTGCTTATAAGTAGGCGGCAATAATCCCTTCTTGAGCTTCATCTTCCGTCAACCTCGTTGTCCCAGCCCGGCTCGACAGCTTCCCAACACGTCCGTCTCCATCCCCCTCCCTCCAACAACCGCTCAGCTTGCCTCCGACAGAGAGAGATTCGGGACTTCTACAATCCCTAATGAAATCTTTTTTTAAATCCACCTTCCCCGAATCTGAATGGACGTGCTCAACTCCTCAAGATGCGATACAGCCCGGCATATACAACCGACCCGCCATCCGCTTCAAAACCTCCTCCTCCCTCTCCGCTCCGAAAAGGTGAATGAGCGATTGCTACGCTGGAAATAAAGTCAGCCGCCACTATCCCTCGATCAAATCGAAAGACGACCACAGTCAGGTATTCACCTGACATCGCAATCGGGAATCCGACCGATCGATATACCTCCCTGATGAATGGTACGCGAAAAAAGCGAGCGCGCGCTGAGGCTGCTGGCCTTGGGGAAGATCGATGAGAGGAGGATCGCGATGCGAGTCTTGATCCAGAATCTCAGGACGCATACACCTGGTCTCGAGAGACGCTGCGCACTATCAGGCTTCGGGGGCTAGATCTGGCTCTGGCGCTTCGCTGGTAGACCACATACATACACGTACTCGATCCTGAAGGGAAGGGCGATCAGCCCACGCTCTTACCGAAGCCCACGAACGACCTTGCGAACGCTTGAGCTTTTTCTTTTTCCTTTTTTTTTTTTTATCGACGATACTATAATTTTTTACTGGGAATCTCGGGCGTGGCGAAGAATTTGTCAGATACGAAGTCACACATCCGTCGCATGGGTGGTGATTTGTTCGGAAACGCCGACTCAAGTGGCATGTATTTTCTGATCTCGAGGCCTGGATGTGCTCGGTCGGGGCTTGCTGCTGGATTTGAAACCGACCTCGACGGAATATATGCACTCGTTTTAGAGGCTGTAATGGAGGATGTTCTTTGCGCCATCCGATTTTCTGGCCAGGGTCACTGGTCGCATCTGTCTTTTGAGCTTCACCTCCCGGGTCTGCGATCGTTCAGGATATATTTCTTATACGTTTCTGAGCCAGTACAATCTATGTCCTCCCTCGGACGTATCGTTTGAGGTGAGGCAGTAGATATGGGCTGTGATTCTATGCGTGGAAGTTATCGGCGTGGTATTTGAGAAAATGGCCATATTGGGAAAGATATAGTCTACCCACCTTGCCTATAGGTGAAGCACACTTTTTTTTAGTAATCGTATTTGCGATCAGATGGAAGTTCGACAATGCCCTGTTGGGCAATCACGAGGCAACTGAGGTTGTGGGTAACACTGTCTGTCCCAATTCTGCAGGCTCTGGCGAAACACCACCTCTCAAAGCGTTGCCAGAAAATCGTTGGCTAGAAAGAATTGGGACGAAGCGCGCAGCTAATTTGAAGCGGACGTGGTTGCGACTTGGGATGGCCACCAGTCAACTCTGTGGATATTGATTGCTGTATAAATTTTGGAGAGCCGAGGGGCTACTATATCAATCGACTCCACCCTCGAGAATCCCCAGTCATCTCGCTTTTTAACCGCTGATACTGGTCTGCGCATCCTCAGAGCACGGGATGCCGTTTGGGAGTAAGAGAGAAGGGTCTGAGATCGTCCGAAGCGAATGTATATAACCAGTAACACTCACTGGCTTGCTCGATCATGAGCGAGCAGCCAGGGACTCTTTGAAATTGTTGGAACTGTCGTTAGACTTCTGAAATCTTCCGCTTACTTCCTTGCCCGCTCGCTCATTTTTATAGATAAATAAATAACCTTGAACCTAAGTCTACATGGAAACATACAGACAGGACATCAAGGGTGAAAGAGAATGGTGGTTAAGCGAAGATGCCGGACGGAGAAAGCCAAAATAGTACGTGGCCAAAGATATATATTTTGAAAAAAAAAAAAAAAATTACTCAGATGCCGACGTAAGAAAATCTTCATTAATAAGCAGATATTTCCTTGAAAGAATACATGCTAGCTCTCTCTCTCTCCCTCTCTCACACACACACAACGTCCTAAAATATCCGTACCTACCTGATAGGTAATGTTTAGCCACGTGATTTTGACATTACCCCTTTTTTCCAAACATCGCTTGCAGCGAATCACACCAAATAAAGCAGTACGAAAGACTACACTGGTGATAATGTCCACCTTCCCTCCTCTTCGCAGTGTGGATACCCAGAAGCTAAGCAAGAGCAAATATACAATCCAAAGCTCCCGGGGGCTGTAGTTCTTCTTAAGAGCTTAGACCGAGCACGACCTGGTACTTCAGCTCTCTAATCACTTGGGCTATCAACAACTTCGGTGACATCCGAAGCGTCAACGCGCTCCGTCCGAACTGCTTTGAACAGTCTCAACCCCAATCCTCAACCTGAACCTCGAGATGAGACACAAGTCCCTCATATCCTGAAACTCACTCGACACGAGAAGAAAAAAGAAAAAGAAAAAGAAAAAGAAAAAGAAAAAAG